TGTTGATTGATGTCATAGATACACGTAGAATTATCGAGTCATGTCATGAGATGTTTATGCAACTAGAATGTTTATGTAATATGCCATGTAATGTAAGTCATGTGAGATGCCATGTGATGTAAGAAACATAAATGCGATGTTAGCACTGCTTATGTAATGCCATGTTAGATATGTTAAGGGACCTCATGCATATATGTATGTCACGTGCATCGGGATTCTTCCCCTTTATGATACGAAAGAATGAAATACGATATTTATGTTCGCCATGATATCATGCGGGCCCTTTTCTATTTTGTGGTGTCCGGCTACGTGTAACACGTTGTGCCCGACCAAGTCAGGCCCAGGGGGTACGTATGAGAGCCCGCCTGGTGGGTTCATATACACGTACATGGGCCATGTGTGAAGGAGTACCACACATCCAACCCTACCCGGAATAGAAAAGCGCCCAAGGCTATGAAAAGTTTATGAAAAGTTAGGTCCCGCTCATATGATGCATGTGTTTGCATTCCTAACCCCAACAGTGGGGTGACTTACTGAGTATTTCATAAAATACTCAAGCCACGTGCTACCTACATTATTCAGGTAAAGGCAAGGCGCCAATGTACGGTTGACGGTGGAGCTGAGGCCACCATGGAAGTTGGAGACGTGATATTTTTAGGAGTTTACTTTCATTAGATTGTTTTAAGTTATAGGATTGAGTATCGTTTTATTTGGATTTATTTTGAATTCAGTATTAAAGGTTCATTTTCGGAGTTTAGGTTTTGTTTTGGATTCATGAATTTTTATGAAAGACTATTTCAAGGTTATTCATGATGAGCTTCCGCTTAATGAGATAAGTATGCATGGGTGACGTCACTAATTAGGTTAAAGAAAATTAGGGGCGTTACACAAAAATTATATTATAGGATCGAGATGCTTGCTTCAACCCATAAATGGATCTTTTAAGCTTGCAAACCCTTTGCTCGTGATCCTGTTCAATGAACCCCTCTGGTTGAGCCATATAGATACTCTCTTCAAGATTGCCGTTTAGAAAGGCTGTCTTAACATCCATTTGCCAAATTTCATAATCATAAAATGTGGCAATAGACAAGAGTATTCTAATCGATTTAAGCATAGCAATAGGAGAGAAGGTTTCTTCATAGTCTACCCCCTCTCTTTGGGTATAACCCTTTGCTACTAGTCGAGCTTTAAAGGTTTGTACCTTACTGGTTTGGTCTCATTTCTTCTTATAGATCCATTTGCAACCAATAGGTTTTACCCCATCTGGTTGATCTACAAGTTTCCATACTGAATTGAAGTACATTGACTCCATTTCAAGATTCATGGCTTTAATCCACTGATCTCTTTCTTCATCATTTATTGCTTGTTTATAGGTCAATGGATCCTCAACGCCATCATCAGGTATGGTGACTTGAGTTTCTGCCAAACCCAAGTAATGATCGGGTTGAGTTATAATCCTCCCACTA